TTGGCTACCTACTTAATTTATGTTGAATTTCTATCATTTTGTGAACAAGCGACCGATTTTTTTTATATTTATTATTTGGGATCAAAAAACATTGTCCCACTATACACATGCATCGTTCCCAGTATGCAACATGGGGTGGTTGCATAGTGGGAAAGTGGTGTATAGTGGGACATTCGAATATTTCTATGTTAAAGTGTAAAAGTTGTTGAAATTTTTATGATTTCTTATAAATAAACTACTTTTAAATATATTAGAATGTTCACAATAGTTAAAAATTATTCAACAAATTCTTTATTTCAATTAGAAAAATATTGTCCCAGTATACAACAGTCTCCCCTACTCTAAATGGTATGGTGTATGTTGGTACTGCCTATAACTTCCAATACTATTTGGGCCCGAGACTAGGGTGGAAATGTCCATATGTCTATATGGTTCATATTTTTACAAAAATTCCTTTTTCGATGAATCGCAATTATTAGTTTTACCCAATGATATTTGTTTTGCCTCCTCAAACCACCCTCGAAGTAATTTGCATGTCAATGTCAGTGAGATTCCCCAAACGGTGTCATCGTTAGGGTCATACCAACTGGGGTGAATTATCGTCGGGATAGTATAACCACTGAGTTAGCCAGACTGGTTGTAACTATGTAGTAGCAACTTAAAATTTCGAGGATATAGGTAAGTAATCTTATTAAAACTTTCTATCAAATGACATATCGACCCCTCTTTTCTATTTGAAATTTTGGGAGTACCTGTCGGCTGTCATCTTCGCTTACAGGTTGAGAAGTAGGCAGTGGCGTAACTTCAGATTTTGGACCTGGGGGCAGAGTGGTTTGGCGAGGCCCAATTACAATACATATTGCATATATTCTGTTTGTCTTAAGGCCAAAATATGGACCGATTGGTAATGTCAGTGGCAAATTTACCCTATTCGTAAAACTCAAAATTGAATTCAATTTACCAGCAGGATAAATTTGGCACGGAAGTTACCAGTCGGTCCATAATTTTGTTCTAAGGCCTGGTTTATTCATCCTCTGATACACTTGCTGATAACTATCTGCATGATAAATTGACTGTTCTTTAATTCTGGTCGGCGGATAACTGGCCGACAAATGGGATTACAGATTGCGTTTATATCCGGCAGATTGCATACCTGACAGTTTATCAGGTGAATAAACCGGCCATAACTCAAAAAAACCTGGAAATAATTATATTGCGAAATTCGCCTACCATCTTCCACGCTAACAGCTAACATTACCGATCGGGATTTTACTTTTTGCGGAATACCTACATTTTCCAAATAAATGTGGGTAGTAAATAGATAGGTAAGTCAGCAAAATTTTCAATGATTTTCGTATTTTCTTGATTACAATTAAGTTTCTTAAGACAATATTCTAAGAATCGTACGCATATGTTTTTTGACTGTGAAATTATTTTTGCATGGAGTCCGATAGCCTCTGGGCCCGCTGAGAAAACCTGGGCAAAGACAATACTACTACGTAGTAGTATTATCTTTGACCTGGGTGGGAAGTTTTTCTTGCCCCGCCCTGTGCCTATATACAAGGTGTCCCACGACGTTTTACCCCAGGTGATAAATTCGGAACGCGTCATGCAATATATAATTGAAATTTTGAAAATCTGGGCTGGAACTCTGTAACGGATAGAGATCCTTATCCTTATCGCTATGGCACTTGCTATCATCTTTTCTCTTGTCGAAATCAATAGAGAGGAGACGTTAACAGATATAGAAAAAATATCTCAATTCGTTACAGAGTCCCAGCCCTGGTTAACTTTTGTGCCGCTCCTACATGTGTCATCCAATTTCACCACTTTTCGCTTCAGTTTCGGTCAGGTGACGGCAACTTTAGAATCTTTAATATAACTAATGGTATTTTATCATTTTCCGTTAGAAAATTAAATTACCCAATGGGCAATGCCATATTGGTATTTTCACGTCCTACCTAAACCTGTCAACCCCTAAGCGGGGGTGACAGGTACCTCCAAAACTTCAAACTGAAAAGGGGGTCGAGTGATCCGTGATTTTTATAAAGAATATATCCTCGAAATTCTAAATTGGTACTATTTGCCCTGCCAAAATTGCGGCTCGAACCTCATTTCCACTGAAATTTTGAGGGTTTTGCTGTAGAGGATGAAAACACTATTAAAATGTGTTCCCCCAAAAACAAAAATTGAGGAACAAACAAACTATCAGGCATGTTCTCATGTAAAACCATCAATAAACATTCACTAAAACCTTCAGCAGCAAACTTTATTTTACTTCTGTTGTCTTTCGGGGTGTCCACTGTTGGCCATTTTAGAAAATCGTCGCCACGGACGCCGGGGAGCAGTTGGCTGATGGCTCCACATCCAAATTTGTTCATATTACATAGGTCTACCTCTGTGCCAAATTTGGTGCCTTTATCAAAAAGTGCACAATATGTTGAAATATCCTAGCTAAGCTGCCGCACTACTACAATAAAGGTTATTTAAGACTCCGAGCCCAAGAACTTCGTTTTCGAGAAAAACGGCGTTTAAGATTTTTCAAAATTTGAACAATGTTTCAACTTTGAGCCTCAATATGTGAAAAACTATCTGAGCTATAAAATTAAATCTTGTTTTATCTTAAGGAGCATTCAATTCTGATTATAAAAATATAATTTTGCCTTGGAATTTCTGAAATAAAAACAAAGTAATGGGCGATTTAGTGGAACAATGTCAAAAAATCAAAGTCTTTTGAGACCTAAAATGCGCAATCAATTTTCAATTTTGGAAAAGCCCTAAGACCTCGGAAAAACGAATTCCAAAATCGCTTTTTCATTAATTCTGACTTCCTCTTTGGATCGGTAAAGTCAAAAATTTGAAAAACCAAAAATTTAAAAATTGGAATTTTTCCAAAGGGGTATGCATGGAAATTTGATTTTCAAATATTTCAGAGGGCCATATTTCGGAAACCGCAAAAGCCATCGGCACGAAATTTGTCCCAACTTATAGCTCTCAATTAGGGCTACAAAAAATGTCAGTTAAGACTCCGAGCCCAAGGGCTTCGTTTTCGAGAAAAACGGCTCTTAAGCTTTTCCAAAATTTGAGATAAAGTTTCAACTCTCAGCCTCAATATCTCGAAAACTATATGAGCTTTGAGCTATAAAATTAAATCTTTTTATGATAATATTCAATTTTTTGCAACCCCTTAAACGTCGAAAAAACAAATTGCAAAAACGCTTTTCTATTAATTCTGACCTCCTCTTTCGATTGGTGAAGTCACAAATTTGAAAATTGGAATTTTTCCAAAGGGGTATGCATGAAAATTTGATTTTCAAATATTTCGTAGGGCCATATTCCGGAAGCCGCAGTAGCCATCGGCACGAAATTTATCCCAACTTGTAGCTCTCAATTAGGGCTGCAAAAAATGTCATAGGACTCCGAGCCCAAGGGCCTCGTTTTCGAGAAAAACGGCTATTAAGCTTTTCCAAAATTTGAGAAAAAGTTTCAACTTTCAGTCTAAATATCTCAAAAACTATTTGAGCTATAGAAGTAAATCTTGTTTTATGTTGAAAGGCATTTAATTCTGATTATAAAAATGTAATTTTGTTTTGGAATTTGTAAAATATTAACACAGTTATGGACGATTTTGTGAAGCAATGTCAAAAAATCAAAATCTTCTGAGGCCAAAAATGCACAATCAATTTTCAATTTTTTACAAGCCCCTAAACCTCGAAAAAACAAATTCCAAAAACGCTTTCCGACTAATTTTGACCTCCTTTTTCGATTGGTAAAGTCAAAAATTTGAAAAACCAAAAATTTTAAAATTGGAATTTTCCCAAAGGGGTATGCATAGAAATTTGATTTTCAAATATTTTAGAGGGCCATATTTCGAAAACCATAAAGGCCATTGGCACGAAATTTGTCCCAACTTATAGCTCTCAATTAGGGCTACAAAAAATGTTATTTAAGACTTCAAGCCCAAGAGCTTCGTTTTCGAGAAAAACGGCTCTTAAGCTTTTCCAAAATTTGAGACAAAGTTTCAACTTTCAGCCTCAATATCTCAACAACTATTTGAGCTATAAACTTAGATTTTGTTTAATGTTAAAGGGCATTTAATTCTGATTATAAAAATATAATTTTGCATTGAATTTGTAAAATATTAACAAAGTTATGGGCGACTTTGTGAAGCAATGTCAAAAGATCAAAATCTTTTAAGACCAAAAATGCGCAATCAATGGGTAATTTTTTGCAAGCCGTAAAATCTCGAGAAAAAAAAACAAATTCCAAAATCGCTTTCCAACTAATTTTGACCTCCTCTTTCGATTAGTGAAGTCAAAAATTTAAAAATTGGAATTTTTCCAAAGAGGTATGCATGAAAATTTGATTTTCAAATATTTCAGAGGGCCATATTTCGGAAACCGCAGTAGCCAACGGCACGAAACTTGTCTCAACTTGTAGCTCTCAATTAGGGCTACAAAAAATGTTATTCAAGACTCTGAGCTCAAGGGCTTCGTTTTCGAGAAAATCGGCAAAATTTCAAACAAAGTTTCAACTTTGAGCCTCAATATCTGTTGAGCAGATACTTAAATGCAGAAATTCTCAAACTACTTGACCCCCTTTCAATTCAATTGCCAAATAGTTGTTTGTTGTCAGCATATAGCTCGTTCGGTTCAGAAAAAGAGCAACTTAATCTTTTGCTTCATAGGAAACTGAATTTGGGTTACCCGCAACTTTGCAGTTTATCTACAAAATTCAAGCAAATTGACTTTAAACAACCTCAAGCTTTAGACAATAGTCATCAAATACGTCAAAGTATACTTTGTATTGTTGCTATTCAATGCTTAACCATACCTAATAAGTGTTTATTTGTTGATCTGTTCAAAAATAAACTCATTACAGTTATTGTCACAAAGAAAAAATACATAGTTGATAAGGACAAATTCCTAATTAAAAATGCGTTCATGAAAAAAATACAGTATACAATCATCAGTAATTATCCAAAGTACTAGAGGTACTGATAAGCCACTCTCATCCAAGTATATTAAATTTTTCCGATGGTCTTTTGACCTCATTCCAAACGTTTCAATCAAGAGGCAAACATTTGATTTATTTTTATATTGTTTATTATTCTTGCGTTTTCAAGATTTTGTTGGTGCAAAATTAACCCGAATGATAGTGTTTAACCCATATTATCAATATTACATCAGTTGTGTACACTTACAGACTAAAATTAGTGATAACCGTATTGCGAGCAAGAGCAAAAGACTAAAGTTCGGTTTGGCTTTTAGCAGGAAAATTTACAAGTGAAGAATTTGCAACAGAGGGAAAATCATGCCTGGGAAATTGTTGAAGATTGGTTTTATTGGTGGCGGCAAGATGGCACAGGCTATGGCGAAAGGATTCATATCGGCTGGTAAAAAACTTAGAAATTAATTTGCAAAAGATATTTAATTGCATTAAGTAGGTACCTACCAATCAGTAATCAATTTTGTATTGAAAGCCAAATAAATCCAGAAAACAATAAATAAGTACTTATCTACGTATAGATTTATAGATTAGCTAGCAAAAAAAAAAACTGAAATTATTTGGTTTTGATAAGTAAGTACCTACCCACTTTAAAATGTAAAATTTCCATGACATCTTATTTTTCTGCCTCTTGATAATTTATTCTATTGATTCCAGGTCTAGCCAAACCAGAAACTATAATTTCCAGCTCTCATCCGTCTGATGTGGTCAGTCTACAAGCATTTAAAGTAAGTATTTTGTTTGTGGGTTGATGGTATTGTAACATTAGGTCGTCAGACGCAGAAAGAACAATTTCTGGATCTGAGAGGCAAAAATCATTCTCATCAATGCTAGAAACTTAAATATATTGGTTTGCTACTTGAAGGTAGAGCTTTTAAGTATCTAGTTTATGATATGATGATCTAGTCACTTTAAAAGTTTATTTTCTAACCGACTCCATAAATGATCTTTTGAATCGACAAATCCAATCTACCTATAGCTGGTGACTGTATTCTTAAGTCAATTTTCACCTCAGCTAACTTACCAGAGTCGATAAGATCTGAGTCTTTTTTCAAGGAATTTCATAAGCGATGTGGCTTCTGGTCTTGTTGATTGCATCTGAAGTCAGACTTGATAATTCAACACTGCTACCTTTCCAGGTATATGTTGTGCTTGTCTCTTCTTTTAGTTGGTGTCCAAGATTTGTAAGCTTCTTCCAAAAGGAGCCATTTTCTTGGGTTGCTTCTGGTTACTACATTGCCACTATACTAACACACATTTCTCTTGGAACATTTACACGTCTCTAATAGCCAGTTAGGTCTCTCTGATTCTCAAAATTTGAACTTTCTTCTGCGTGCCAAAAAATATCCCGCTTGCTGACTGTTAGAAACACACTTTGACACTGTTGAGTTTCATTTAATAGCCAATATTATAGAAGGTGTTCTTAAACGGCGACTTTTCTTAAACGCCAGTGATCCGCAGGCAGTAGCTCACCCCATTCTTGGATCGAATTTCTATATTCTCCTGGACTTTGTTGCCTGGAAAACTCTTCCATGATAGCTGCAATTACCTGCTCTGGAAAAAGATTGGTATGTTAAGTTGTATCTGGATATCAAACGGGCATTCAGAATCTCTTCTTCTGAAGGTTTTCTGTTTTTCTTGTTTCTAATCCTTAGCCGTGACTACTGTTACTCTTCTCAAATTTAACATAAGCACATTTTTACCTTGGGCTCATCTGGCCCTTCAAAACCCCAAAAAGATTTAGAAAATATTCGTTTTGCTGATTCACACCTGTATCCTACAACAATTTTTGTTCCTTTAAGGATCTAGGTGCAGAATCCATAACCGACAACCTACCAGTAGTCGACAAATCCGAAGTGGTAATAGTTGCGGTGAAGCCCCACATAGTTCCTATAGCTCTCGGCGACATAAAAACCTCCAGCGTAGCCAAAGACAAGCTCTTCTTATCCGTAGCCATGGGTGTGACCATTAAACAGTTGGAACAAATTTTGCCGAAACAGTCCAGAGTGATTCGAGTGATGCCCAACACACCGGCTCTAGTGCAAAGCGGAGCTTCGGTTTTCGTTAGGGGCAGTACTTCTACTGAGGGCGACACCACAACTACCAAGAGACTGCTGCAGAGCATTGGTACTTGCGAGGAGGTTACTGAGGGCCTGATGGACGCCGTTACGGCTTTGAGCGGATCTGGACCAGCTTATGTAAGTACAGTTATATGCAAAAATCATTCGTAATAATTATGTTAAAACTAAATGTTGGAAGGCAGAAATTGCCAATGCATATTCCTGGCGCTTTGACGACCCATCTTGTAGTCATTTCTAGCCCTCGAAGGCGAGAAATTACTATAGATACTTAGAGAAGAGACAAAAAAATTCATTGATATTCTAATATGAACATTTTTTCCCAGGTTTACCTATTTATTGAAGCCTTGGCAGACGGTGGTGTAAAAATGGGCCTACCCAGAGACTTGGCTTACCGGCTAGCAGCTCAAACAGTCTTGGGCGCAGGCAGGATGGTCAGAGACCTTAAACAACACCCGGGAGTGCTCAAAGACGATGTAACTTCGCCTGGAGGATCCACGGCTACGGGAATACACTTTTTGGAAACAAAAGGTAAAGTTTTTTGTGTTATATTAGGAGTTTTGTAGATTAATTTTGCGATTTTTTTCAGCGTTTAGAGGAACTGTGATAGGAGCCATAGAGGCGGCTACTCAAAGATGTAGAGAAGTGGCCAAAGCTGGCCATTAGTTGACTGTCTGGTTGTTCAATACAGTCATTGTGATTGGTGTCAGTGGGAGATGGTTGTTGAAACAAAAAAGCCTATTTATTTAGTATATTATTCGTCTAACATTTAGACTCCATATTTTTCAGTGTTTTCTAAAAATATATACCTAGTTTTTTTTTATAAACAAAATTGTTTTTTTATATTTTCCCAAAAAGTAGGTAGATGATAATACCTATTGTTGTGAAAACGACTGTTCGCCTTAAAATGAGAGGTTTGCCTTAGCTTCAGGGATTCTGCGAATCCACTGAAACTCACTTTACAATAACAACCTTTAATGAACTGATCGACTTTTACTTATCGCTTTTACTTGGATTTAGGTATACCACAACTCCCTATTATCCGCATTAACTTGCCACTCACTTGTATAATATTTCCAGAGTCCATTGAAACAAGGTAATAATAAATTTCAACTGGTGGCTGACTAGTGGCAGTGCATTTCTTATGAAAGTATTCAGTCATCATGTGATTTACCTTTACCTTGTTTCAACTGACTTTGGAAAGACTATAACAAAGTCAGTTATTAAGAGCGTAATGTTCCATATCTCCTATACCAGTGGATATAGAAAAAAAAGGGAATGCGAGACTTGTAGATCAAAATTAAACTTGGTTGATGGAACTACATTCCTAAATTACTTTGCAATGAAAAAGATGGACCATCAAGTAGTGGTGACTCAAAGTTACCTATGATTTTTTTAAAGATTTCCTCTGTTTATTTCCACATTGTGAAATTTGTATTTTAATTTCAAATAACTTTCCTCAACAACTTTCTATACCTCCTTCGAGAGACTGGGCTGTTAGTTATGATCAAACTTAAGGCCGATTCTTATAGGGATACCCTGTACAGATGGAAAGTTTGCGCAATGGAAGAAATTGTTTCTTTAAGCCTCCTGAATATAATATGTAACTCTCATCAAATTCTCTTTCCTTTACGTGGGTTTGGTTAATAGTTTATACCTACATTTTATCATGGTAAAAACAAAAAGGTTTTTTCATAAGAAATGCTTCTCATTCCGAAACGATGAGAGATACCATAGAAACAGAGAATTTTATCTTTTATCACCATTTCAATGTGATATTCAGGCCGTTTAAAATAGAGGCAGGTACAGATTGATATAGATTTGAAATAACATTTTTATAAATCATCCAATAATCATTAGATTAGGGAACAGATTTTAGTTTATCTAAGCTTTGTTCAGCTATGACTAATTTTTAACTGATAATTTTTCACGATAACGACTATGAGATAGAATAGGTAGTATAAGAAGATGGAAGATATTAGGGAAAGTTACTTGAAACTAAATTAAAATTCAAAAATGTGGAAATATAATTACAGAGGGAGTCATTTAAAAAAAAATACATAGCTTTGCTCAAAGCTTTGGTCTTCGGATCCCCACTATAAGTAGGTACTTATCGGGGGACCCTGTATACTGGAATTTACGAATTGTAGTAATCATGTTTAAGTATGAGATTCATGGTAGCTTTTTTTCGATCTCTGTTAGTATCAGAGATATGAACCACCGCTCGCTTGCTCAGAAATTATTTAATATTCGAGACTTCTCTAGAATCATTTGTTCACTAGAAGAATGACAGAATTCTTGAATACTTGCGGGCCTTGATTCCGGCACCGATGCAATTTCGTAACAGTGAAATCATTCCTTTTTGACATTTTTGTAGCTGCACCAAACACCTATGAATGTAGGGGAGGGTGGACCACCATGAGACGCGTTTACCATTAGACAGTCGCCATTATTTTTTAATAATGTGGGGTATTTGTCTCCATTTCACGGTACATCAAGTATTAAACATATTAGTCTTATTTCTGTTGCCAGAGAAGCTGCACGTGCGCCCCCAAATTTTTTGCCGGTTTCGATTTGTTTTCGCAATAGTGAAATTTCTTTTGCTGTAAGTTCAGTACTTCATCAGTCATTCCCAATATACTTACATTTTGTTCTGAGGTTTCCAACACAATAGTTGAATATTAATTTCATTGTTTACATATATTACGAGTCGATTTTTTCACGTTTTACCAAACTATTGCGGTTTGTAACTCAGATCTACCATGGGCTACAATGAGACACGAAGTTTGGGCCACCTTGAGACGTGTCTCAAATGTTGAGAAAAATTATTTTGTTCAAAACATGTCACGGGGACGCAAAAAAAATCTCTAGAAGGCCTGTTTAGTGCCGAATCAATAAAAAGGGCTGTCGAAGATGTGATTAAACATAAATTGAGCTTCTGAGGAATGCAGCAGAGAAAAACAACGTGAAACATCAAACATTTGCAAGATATGTTGAAAAAACACAAAATAATGAAGAAAAGTTATCTTACCGCCCTAGTTACGATGTATTATTTTCAAATAAACCTTAGTTTTTTCTCCTTTTTTTCTGGTTTTTATGTATGTCTCAAAGCGGCCCACTTATTCATGGGCTACCTTGAGACAAAATCAGATTTTTTGAAATTACTCCATAAAATAAAATAACAAATATTGTGTTAATAATTTAATCAAAAAATGTGTACAATTAGATGAAAGATTATGAGGCTCACGTTACTCTGTAGCGAAAAAATTGAAATTACCTACCAATTTTATCCCCCAAAAAGTAAAAACTGTCTCAATGTGGCCCACCCTCCCCTACCTATTAGGTATATAATGTAGGTACGGACAAAGCCGATAAATAGCAAATAACGGCCGTGGCTGAAGTTTGTAATCCGAGGCATTATAGCTAGATTATATTGAAGCTTCTGTAGAAACTGCGCTGATGAAATTTATGTTGTTGTTTTGGCGCCCTAGTAAACAAAATAAACTGATTTCTGTTGATAGTGATGGTGATACTACAACTTTCTTTGGTTTTTGTGAGGAACCATGTTCATAAAAATTTTGGTTTCCATTGTTTCCAATAAATATAAAGGAATTTGGTTTTTGTATATTTCTTCTGCTTATTCCATTGTTGTATTTTGTTTCAATCTTCAAGGCCCAGTTTATTTATCTTCAGATATAAACTTACTGGTAACCGTCTACAAGTTAAATTTACCAATCTATATTCCTATTAGTCGGCGGATAACTGACCGCTCAATAGGATTATAAATTACGTTTTCATTCGCCAGATTCCATTGCCTGACAGAGTTTATCAGAGGGTAGAGAAATCGGGCCTTAATCTGAAAATAAATTGAAAAATACCGTTTATTTACGTTCCTAGCAATGAGCTATGTTCCTAGTCCTATATATGAGGCGAGTTGAGTTATTTCTCCGCCAGCTAAAAAAATGGTCGGCAATAGCTTAAGTGATCTTTCAGTTATCAAGTTAGAAAACTGGTCACATGAAGTTGTCACCTTCAGTGGCGCACCCAAGGGGGCCGGGGGTTTTGGGGGGTTAACCCCCCCCCTCGAAATTTAGCACGGTACAAAGAATAATTGGCCTTTTTCGTCGCAAAGCTTGAACGCTTTTTGTTAAATTTAATTTTTCCAGATTTCCAGGCCAAATTTATGTAGTATGTATTGCGTTTTCGTTAATAAAAAAAGGAAACAACTTGTGCAATCTACTCATGAAGAGAAGATTAAGTTTTTTGTACTGAATTTTTTGTGTTTTTTTTTTTCGAATTTTTGGTGATAATTTGTGCATGGCACCCCTAGAAGGTTTTCCCTCCGACAGCGAGTTGATTTAGGTGAGTGAACAGCGAGAACACAATAACTTATACAATCACTTACAAAAAGTTATTTTTCTACAAACTTCACCAAAAGTGTCATTTTTAACGGATGCTGTCAGTGTCTAAAATGCCATTTTATGACAGTGGTGTTAAAAGTGATTACTTTTAGCACTGAGTGCTAAAAGTAATCACTTTTAGTGCGTTTGTAGAAAAAATAGTGTATGATATTCGTGCTAAAAATGATTTTATTTTGTACAAAGAGATGGAGCAAACACTCCGCCTTCGGCGTCGTGTTCCAAACTTCCACAAAATAAGAAGTCACTTTTAGCACTTTTATCATAAATAACTATTTTTGAAGGCTTAAAATAAACGCGTTTTTGGGTGTGACACCCGAAAAAAAATTCTTCCTATGGCGGCCGGCCTACGGCAAGTCTACGTCATTATGAACCCCCCCCCTCCAAATAAAAAACCTAGGTGCGCCACTAGTCACCTTTCTGCTCAAGGAAGATTAACGACCGAACTCTTAATTTTTTGACACGGTTGTAGTTTCAAGTTTCATTAAGGTGAACGGTTATTATTTCCTTCAGTTTCATTTAGGGACAATAAAAAAATTATAAGAATAAAATATCATTTTGGTAAAAGATGTTGTTTTCTCACTGACTGTGTTCGGCATACTTGTTTGAAGTTTTTTTTTTTTCAAAAAGAGTTTCAAAGAATGGATGTTTATTTTTTTTCTTTACTATATGCATAACTTTCATGCGAGGAAGATAAAATTACTATTTGTTAGGTTAGGTTTCAGTAAAATGAAAAGTTCAATGTTATTCTTAGTTTTTAAAGTAGATTTTCAATGTGTGGTTAATTTAAGAATATGTTTTTAATTTGAATTGTTACCAGTATCGGTATCAGGTTAGGTTTCAGTGAAACCAAAAGATCAATGTTATTTTTAGTTTTTAAAGTAGCTTTTCAATGTGTGTTCAATTTAAGGATCTCTATTCAATTTACAGTGTTACTAGTATAATGTCTGTAATACACAACCATTATTGCTTTCCTTAGTAATAATTATATGTTCCAAACATACGATTTAGTTCTCTTTATTGTTTATTATTAACCGCTTCCTTTTTTTAGCAAATCATATTAGCTACCACTACTAAGCATTTACTACAGACATAAGTTGATTCAACCCGGAATATTGATTCTGCTAACTAAAAATATTAGTTAAGTTAGCCCAGACAATTTTTTGTTGCAGACCAAATATTGGTTATTTTCAAACAAATTCAGGTCTATACAACCAATTTATGTAGTAAAGGCAACTAAAAAATATTGGTTGTTGCAGCCACTCCTAAAGTGGAAATAACTAAGAGCCTATTTGGTACAACTATAAAGGTTATTCGATCACCAACTAACTTAAATTGGTTAGTATAACTACATGCCGGACCTGTCCTCTATTTTATGCACACTCCTTAGTGACAATTACTAATTTTTTACT